TGGATATTAGTTAGTTAAATAAGATGAAACTAGGCCTGGCTTTATCTCGAAAATGTGATTATATCTTCTTTGGATCCATGCGATTAATTGCTTTCCCAGATGTCTGTACTCCTGAGACGGCTAGAATAAAGTGTCTCCTTTCGTGAAGGCCAATTTCAACTACCCAAGGGATGCGATTAATGGTTGTAGAAACGATGCCAGGTTGATGTGTTCTATGAACCTCCCACCCAGGGATAAATCCAGTTTTTGGTATATCGTTTTAGGCATCTCGAAAACCCTCCCTCGAAAGTTAAGTTTCTCCTCCTCCGGTGCTTTCTCCACCGGCGCTGCTAAGGCCCTTCAGTTGGGTCCCGCAGTGGCGCTAAAATCGCGAACCAATTCCTCGGGTCAGCTATTGAGCCATGCGGTCTCCAGTGATCCTCTCCTCACCTCCATCCCAGCACCTGGCACAGTGGCAAATCCAATCCCACTGCAGGGTCACATGTTGCAACGCATCCACTTTCGTGTACCGGCCGTATGTGAGCTCTGTAAGCGGGCTTGCTGGCATGTGATACTCCCGCCTCCGGCCCTCCAATGCCTCCATTGCCAGGTAAGTCGAGCAGGGACTTTCGAATCTTCAACACACATTGCGGTGTCTTCACCGACCTATGGGCCTCGCAGTAGTTCAGACAGACAGAATGGGAAGAATACTATGCCTCTAGGTTTTGCATACTCTGCCCAGTTATTCAAAGAAAACTCAAATTGAGAGGTCTCTTAATCATAGGCAAGAATTCTCGAAGGTCTGACACAATTGTCGTGAAACACACTCGTACCTATTTTTGGCATGAGATAAATGACCAAATACCATGCAGTCCTTCGGATAGCTTGACCGCCTACGTGTTGCTGCTTCACATCAAATGATTTAATACTGACATTAATCCCCAAAATAAAATCCTTTAAAATGTTTTTGCTAATAAACTCATTGCAATCGAAGTGCTTGCTACGTCGCTAAGCTGCTAAACTTGAACAGATCATTCATATAGGAAGACAACCAATCGGTATATTGTCCTTGGCACTTTTTGAGGCTTCACATTAAATAGGATGGTAAATACCACAATCTAAGATGCTATTCTTCTATAGATTGCTAACTCAAATCTCAGTTGTACGGTCGAACCATTAGTGTTATCAATTTTCCGGTATATTCTTGCTTTTTTTGAATTGAGAGAGA